AAAGAAAGAAAGAAAGAAAGAAAGAAAGAAAGAAAGAAAGAAAGAAAAAGAATCTCTTTCAGGAGTTCTTAACTTTTTTTATGTCATGGCCCCTTTTGGCTGTATGGTGAAGCCAGTGGATGCCTTCTCAGAGTAATGGTTTTAAATGCATAAAATAAAATGTATAGGTTGACAAAGGAAACCAATTATATTGTAATACCGTTACCCAAATATCAGTGGGCCACAGGTTAAGAACCTTCTGCTCTAGACATTTGTCCCTGTGTAAGGCAAGTCTGAAAGGGGTCAATGTTAATAGTTGCAGCGAAGGGTTTGAGTTCAATAGTAAGTACAGCAGAGCTGAGCCAAGGTGTCCTCTTCCAGAATGAAGGGCGAACAACAAGTATAGCATAGGCAAAGCCAGCCTGATTTGAGGCACATCTGGAATGTCTCCCTGCCAAAAAAAAAATCTCCTTCCCCACAATATACACACCATTTATTTAACTGTGTTGATTTAAAAATAACTATAAAGTAATTTAGCTTTTCCCCCTAAATCATTTGGAAGAAGGGCTAGCCTTACAAGTGGGCAACTTTGCTTACTGCCTGCTTGGTATGGACAGGGCAAGGCTAGATGGAAGGGGAGCAGAGACTAGCCTGAAGGTGCCATATGAATGCAAGCAGAGGAAACAAAAGAGGGAAAAGGAACGGTGAAGAGTCAGGTGAGAAGCAGAATTCAGAAGACAGTCTGCTTTATAAATCTGTCTAAGACTGATACTGTATTATGTCTTTGTACACAGAATACTTTAGAGAAGGGAGTAAAAGGAGAGAGAAAGAAGTGATCTCGGTTGTTGCAATGCTTTATTTTTCAAAACCATGGTTAATAACTGGTATTTTAGAGAGGATATTTTGGCTAATTTCGTTGGATAGTTTTTGAAACAACTTGTTTGATTCAATTTCCAGAGGTTTTCTTAAAGTTATTTTTTAAGTGTAAACCCATCTTATACCATCTCTTTAGACCTTGTAAATGTGTATTAAACCCTCCCCCAAAGCACTGCAACAAATACCACCAGGAACAAGATCCTTTTAAGTATTTGTACCTGAAGGGCTCCCTTCAAAGTAGGCTTTTCCTTCCAAACCAATTGCAGACAAGTGTCCCCTAAACTCTAAAGCTCCTCTCAGGCACAGCTGCTTTTAAGTTCAATGGAAGGACTACCCGTATGAAAACTTTAAACTGAGCCCACTCTTATAGCCATTATCCAGTAAATAATGAGGATTAATCTCTGTGAAAAAACATGTTTCAGGAGCCAGCTGGAGTTGGAGTCAGAGTGGAGTAGTGAAAGTGTATTAGAAATGTAGCCAAGGAACTAGCATTCAAACCCAGGCTCTGCCCCGTGTGTGACCTGAGCAAGTCACTTAAGCTCTCTGAGACTCAATTTACTTATGTGTAAAGTGAAGTCGACTATGTGGCATCTACAGTCCCCTCCAACTCCCAATCCTATGATCCTTTGCCATCTTCCCCTCTGGCTAGCTAGCTTATTTTTCGAAAGAAGTCAGAGCTGGAAAAACCTAAGTACATATTGATGGAACTTTGCTAAAAAGGTTTTCAACTTGTGCCCAAAGGGCCTTTAGCTAATTTCTCTGCTTCTTGGATATAAACAATTTGGATTTTTTCTTTCTTTCCTTCCTTCTTTATTTTTCTTTCTTCCTTCTTCCTTCTTTCATTTCCTCCCTTCTTTCTCCCTTCCTTCTTCTCTCTTTGTCTTTCTTTTTTCCTTTTCTCCATTCTTTTCATTTCCTTCCTTCTTTTCTCCCTCTCTCCTTCCTTCTTCCCTTCTCCCTTCTTCTCTCTTCTTTCTCTCTCTCTCTATCTCTTTATTCCTTCCTTCCCTTCTCTTTCCCTCCTTCCCTTCCTCCTTCCTTGGCAATCACTTAGGCTTGCTGTACACTGCAACAGACTGTTTAAGTTGCATTCCTCTTCTCTAGCTTTCCAGAATGACACTAACGATCAGCAGATCTGCATACATGATCTGTGTTTCTAAACAGAGCCTTACTAGGCTGTCTTAATCCCATTCTGGATTGTCTCTTAGCAGCCAAATGGCATGGATTCATGCATCATCATGAAAAACTGAACAGAAACATCTAGTCAACTAGATGTCACTGAGGAAACATTCACCAGTTGCTTTTTCTTAAGTATATTAGACTTTAGAAAATGTGGGGAGGGACGCAGCCCTTATGTGAACTACATTATATTTTTAAGTTTCCAAATAAATATTGTAAATTCTCATTTTTATAGTTAAATGTACAGAATTAATTTTTTCTTGCTATTATAATTGCTGTAGAATTGGGCTATGTCTATTTGGGGATAGCTAAATCAGATGAGACCAAATATTTACTATCACATTATGTGGTAGAATATAGAAATACCATTCTTTCATACATGCATAAGTATAAGACATTCCAGGGCTGAAGCAACCAAATTCTTAGGCCTCCTA